CCCGGAGCATTTCATTTTGATTTACATGTCAGAACAGTGCAGAGATTAGGGGGCTTGACTTCAATGGAGCTATGGTCATGTACGCTCATCCCTATGTGCTGTATTCTCCAGTGAAGCCTCAGGAGAGAATACATGCCATTTTAAACATTGCAATACTGGCTATGTGTTGTCCTTTTAGAGAAGATGCTTTTGGCTGTAAGAGGAGTCTCATTTAAGTGTTTTAATTGCAGTAATAATTTAGAATACAATTTCATGTATTGAATTCAAAGCATCATGTGATTTCCATTTTTATCTGATCACATAAGCAGAGAGATTTGATGGTTTGCTGCAGGCTTGTGCATCACTTTCACTTGAATCCCTATGCTTAGACTGCTGTTTATCAATCTTATGGGATCTTCTTTACAAAATATTCACCAAAAAACTGAAAAAAATATTAGATGACTTTCGTAGGATTCTGAGAATTCACTGGCAGTTGTCAAACTGCACTGTCATTTTGGGAGATGTTTGTGGAATTTCCTTAGTAGTTAGTTGCAGAGGATTTTCACAACTGACCATTCATTTTTGTGGGTCTAACTTGAGACACCTAGGATCTGATTTTCAGAGGTGGTGAGCACCTGCAGCTCCCACTAACTTCAACAACTCTGGTGATTCGACTCACATGCCTCAGGTTGGGCACCCAAAAGCTGAAGCAGGCAAAATGAAAATGTCTAAAAGCAGGATGCATCTGTATTATTGGGGAGTGCAGTGGCTGTAGAAGGGCTCACTCACAGGACAGCAGTGATTCTCAACCAGGGGTATGCGTACCCCTGGGGGTATGCAGAGGTCTTCCAGGGGGTACATCCACTCCTCTAGTTTTACAACAGGCTACATAAAAAGCACTAGCGAAGTCAGCACAAACTAAAATTTCATACAGACAATGACTTGTTTATACTGCTCTATATACTATACACTGAAATGTAAGTACAATATTTATATTTCAATTGATTTATTTAATAATTATATGGTAAAAATGAGAAAGTAAGCAATTTTTCAGTACTAGTGTGCTGTGACACGTCTGTATTTTTAAGTTTGATTTTGTTAACAAGTAGTTTTTAAGTGAGGTGAAACTTGGGGGTACGCAAGACAAATCAGACTTCTGAAAGGGGTACAGTAGTCAGGA